TAGGTCGAATGATAGAACGAGCTCTCTGGGGACGGAAGGGACACCGTTGTCGGGACCTCCCTTCTGTGTCGTCTGTCAAAAAACGGGTCATAAGGTTAGAGATTGCCCAGTTCTTAGAGAGGAAACCATATTGGAGCCGTGATATAATTTTAAGGCTATACGTGTATACCTATATTATATATATATATGTACACATATGTCAAAACTCTTGTTGACTCTGTTTGACTCCATGTTTTGACTCAGTTCGCTTGATATGAAGAATGTTGGACATTGTCGGCTAAATTTTCTGCTGGAACCTAATAAAGTAAATCAGTTGGATGTATGTTGACCATACGATGCAAGTTTGAAACTCTAAGAGGAACATTGTTCGTTCACTTCGAATTATTGATTCATCATTAATTTGGTGCTGCATTTCCTGCAAACTTGATGAATTGATTGTTTGAGGACTTCATGGAAAATCATTTATTTGTTATGAATGCGACTTGAAAAATGTATGTTGATGTTACCTCTCTCCGAAAACTGAAATGAGAAAACTCAGAAAAGGACTTGGAATAAGAACTTCTGATGAATGGTTTCTCTCGAAACGGGTGGGGTCCAGACGTTATCTGGACAGCTCCTGATGGTTGTATTGTGGGAGGCTTGTCAGGGGTTATACCTGACTCATTTGGGGTTTTGCTGAGGTCAAAACGAGTCTTCGATAAAGAGGATGATAGGAGACTTGGGACCTTAGTGTTTATCCCATCCCCGACATTCGTTACCGTAGTACAGTGCTAGTATCCTCATGGGACATGGGAGGCCCAGGTTGAATTCCTGGCGGCACGATTGAAAAAGTGTCGAGGTGTGGTGTTTGCATCCCTATGGCTCAAGAGAGACCCGAGTTGGAATCCCGACGGTGAATGGATGCTCCCCCAAGTGAATTATTTGAACAACTTGATGGATGTCGATTGCTTACTAGCCGGAGGTTGCATCCAGTACCATTCGGAGAGACTGATGTTGTTTTGGCCGCCGGTGGGATGATACCGGAACCATTCTGGAGGGAGACACATTGGTTTTAGGCTTCCAGAGGCTGAATCTGGACACTGTTCCAAGTTCAAAGACTTTGGCTTACCAGAGGCTGAATCTGGTACCATTTCAGTTATTGGTTTAAGGCTTCCTGAGGCTAAATCTGGACACTATTCTAAGTTCAAAGATTTTGGCTAACCAGAGGTTGAATATGGTACCATTTCAGTAATTGATTTTAGGCTCCCAGAGGCTGAATCTGGTGCCATTTAAGTATCTGCTTGAGACTGACTGGGGGCTGAACCCAGTAAATCATGAGAAGACTGTGTTTTGGACTGCCGAGAGCTAAATTTGGTTTCATCCACAGACACTTTCAATTGGTTTTATGCTTCTAAAGGCTGAATCTGGTACCGTTCTTGTAAATTTTGTGCTTCTAGAGGCTGGATCCAGTTTTGTTGTTAAATCCTGAAAGTATGTTTGAATTTAAAATGGGTCGTCTTTTAGGATGAGGGACATGCGTGCTTTAAGAGACCTTGCTACTAGTATGATTGGAAACGCTAAAGCGCATACAAAACTCTCTACCTATGTATAAATCCTAAGCGACGAGGACGTCGTTTAATGGGGTCCGGGATGACTGTCGGGGCAGAAACCCTTACAAGGATATCTGCCGGCGTTTTGACGGCTCGCGGGAAGGCGCCGTTCTATCCGTAAGTTGACGGGGCGTCGGTAATCGAGTAAAAGACAAAGTAAAGATAATCCGTCGCGGCGCGGCAAAAGATTTCACGGGTATCCCAACCCCCTGTTCATATTTACATTTCTTTTCTTATCGGGTATTGACCCCGCATCTGTCTTTTCAAAATTTGTTACTCAGACTCTAGGGTTGGGCACCCAAGTGGTTATAGATAAGGCAGTTGACGCTACAAAGACATATATCGCGGCGGAAACTACTAAAGGAAGGAAGCTGTAACGACAAGGACGTCGGGGTTACCATTCCCCTTCGCCCCCATCATCAAAGCAACACACTACGACCTAAACAAAAGGTCGCCGCATGGCCCATCGGCCGCGCAATTCAGAGTCCGTCGGAGGAAAAGACCAACATCAGAAATATCTGAAGCACGACTGCGACATAGGAGAAAGGGGGAAGTCTAAGAGGGAGACGCTCAAATTAAAAGCCTATCCGAGAAGACTATCGAAAAAGGACCTACCCTACCGCAACCCCTATAGGACTCAACCCCGCTCCAACGGCGTGTGTGTGTGCGTCATGCCATTTAACTAGGAGAAATGGGTGTCTAGGTAATATGGCAAGAAGCCGCGAAGATAGGTGCGTCAGGACCAATCATTCCCCGACGTTCCTACCACTAGGACAATGCGCGACAACCTAAAAAGAATGGGGTCGCGGCCTATCGGCCGCGCGATTCAGAGCTCGACGGTTGAAAACGACCGTGTCGGACAATGGCTCGGAGGCGACGTAATAAAAAAAAAAAAAAAACTAAGGGTTGGAGTTGAAAATTTATCTATGAAAATCTATCGGTGAAGAACACACCCTATCTGGAATTTTATAGGCCTGACCCCGCGCCTACGACACGCCACACTACGTTGCTAAGGCTAAGAAGGTGTGTGGGCGGTGCAAGGGGGATAAGCGTTAAGTGGGAAAAGGCCCTAAGAAAACATGCCTCGGGAAAGTTAGAGGCTTACCGGGCGTGTACCTTTCTTATAGAGGGGTGCTCCTACCGATACCATAGTGGAGGCTAGCCCAATAGGTTTGGAGGTGGGATGGTAAGCAGCAGATATAGGGATCGAACCCACCCCCGCCCGTCGGGCTAACTCTCTTTTTTCAGACAGGACCGCGGAGCCCGAGGGAACGACGCCTCGACAGTAATAGCGGAGCGCCGCGTCTACCGAGACAAATATCGGCAACGCTCCCTCTTACACCGTGGCAAGGGCCAGCCCAGTCGGTTAGGGTGGCAGGCTGTTGAATACCGGGTGCAGGGATCGAACCCACGAGCACCGCGACACTAACATGTTTTAGCGAGCAATACGAGGGTCAATGGCGCCCGATTCGAATGAGGCACAGGGCGGAATCCGCCACGCCGCCTGGGAAATCGCACGAAACGGAGTCTGCCGCCAAAAACAAAACAACTTCTAAAACCCTCCTCTGAGGCAGTGGGAATCGAACTGTGAGCAGCGAGAACGGAGAGGCGCGATGAGAGGAAAACGGGGGGGACGAAAAAGGAAACGAGAAAATGAAAACGATTCAAATTTTCTCCCGGTGCGCCTACGTAATCAGGAATCGAACCGTGGGCTACGGGGAAAGGAAAAAAAAAGAAAAAGCGCGTTAGGAGGAAAAACGGGAGGGGAACAAAGAGAAATAAAAACAAAAACGACAAAAGAAAAACAAAAATAAAATAAAAACAAAACGAAATAACAAACAAAAAGCAAAAGACAGCGCGCCAGATGGCGCGTAGAGAAGAACTGAGGGATCTTACCCCTGTGGATAACAGCTGGCCCCGTCGAAAAGGGACTCTTCCTTTACTTTTGTCTTTTATTTTTTTGTTCTTCTCCAACGACCGAATACCAGTGGCACTGGGGGGGAAGGACAACCCTACTGAGGCACGCCAATGTATCTGTGCCTGTTCTAGCAGAGGATTCACTCCCCTTTTGTACATTAGGTAGCGTTGCGCCTGAAGGGAAAATAGGTGCCCATCCCCATACTACACCCGAATTCGACCTTGGGCACCTGGTTTAGCACCACGAAAAGGTCGTGGCTGCGGCTGGGAGAAGTAACGGCCATTATGGCCCCTCCTTTGGCTTCAGCTGAGCCATCATGGGCTCCTTGCAGACTCAGCACCCCCAACATTGGATCTTTCTGATCCTGGGGGTGGGGTTGAGTGCCGGGGAGAAGACAACAACACATGGGAGTAGGACAGGAGGAATCATAGGGGGATTCCCGCCATTGAGATCAAAGGATCTCGTGGCTGGGAATCCATTAAAGGGGGAGAAGGGCTTAAGATGAATAGGGTTTCCGCGACGTATCGGCACTGGGAAAAATAGCCAGGTACGTCAAACTTTGAAAACTCATGACTCCTACAATAATGGTCAGAAAAATATAAGAAAGACTGTTTCGGAAATGAGACAGTGACAATTATCTCGTGAGAATTACGAGATGACTAATTGAACTAGCCCTGAATAGATAAAAACGAGAGAAAGAGGAATAGTCAAAGTCAGTCGCACTAAGTGTGCGGATGCGGTGCGACGACGTCGCACCGTCGATTTTATAAAATTGAGGGCCCAGGGCCATCTCAAATTATTGTCTAGGGGCTAGAGTGTCGAGGCACACTCTCCATCTTGACTATAAAAGCAGGCAGTGCCCAGCAGTTGCCACACAAGGAGCACGTGTCGTAAGAGTGGTCGCACACTCTATGGCATTTGTGAGTTGCGGGAGTGCTTAGGGAGTGCTGTTGGGAGTCTACTAGAGGAGCTGCTGGGAGTCTACTAGAGGAGGAGCCACCATAGCCACAAGGTGGAGACACCTTGCTACCACCTTGGGTTGGTACCGGACCTGCGGCACATGTGCTAGGGACCACTCCATTGGAGCAGGAACTCACCTCCAAGACTCAAGGGAGCAACATTTTGGACTTAGCTTCGGCCAAGGGCCGGGTTCTATTATTTTGAGCTGGGACGTGGCCGACGTAGGGGAGCATGCTACCAGAGTAATCAAGCGGCAAGGCTACGTCCGCATGCGGAGGAGCGTTACCAGCCTTGTCCTACGTGGGCGTCGAGATAATTTTGTGAGAGTGTCGTGGGACAACCGTTGGGCCTGTTTTTTTTATACCAAGACAGTGCCTTTTATTTTGGAAGCAAGGATGTCGGGTTGCGGCGCGACAAGGAGATGGTACCGCTCACCTGCTTGTTGGCGGTTCACCAATTAATTTTGTGTGGCATTCCAAGTGTGTCGTCGTGATCAGAGGGAGGTGCCGAGTGCGACACATGCTCAAGGCGGGCGCTGGTGCGAACTTGTGGTGGTGTGACGCAAGGGATTTTTTTTTTTTGTAGCGGGAACGGCGCAAGTCCTTGACGTTTTGGCATGGTGGAACCCTTGGTACCAGTCCTTGGCACCATTGGGACTATTTGTGACTACGCCGCATCGACGGTCCTATTGATTGGACCTCGGACACCTCGACGTCAAGGATCTATTTCGAGGTGCGTCGACAACCGTCATTACATTGGGCCCGGCGGGACCAATTTGGAACCAGAAGTGCCACTCATCACTTGTGGGACTTGCCGGAGCAGGCAAGGACCTCTCAATAATTGTTGAGGTTGACGGCGCTTGTGATTTTCTATTCAAAACATTTTGGAGCGTGGTTGGCGTTCAAGATTCAGCTCGACTTTCTTGGGTGAGCCGGTCGGCATCACCGACACTTCATTCAAGGTCAGTTAATGACTCAGACCTCTCACTCCCCACGTGAAACCACACTTTGCTTGCCCCATTTCTATTTCCTTGAATATTCAGTYGAAAGAAAGAAAGGYTGGYTTGTGTGTGCTCAAAYGTGAMAAGGGAAGTGTTGTCTGACCTTGAGTGTTTCTGCCCACCATTGGAATACGTCTTGACTTTGTACTTTTGTTGCAGRCATGTGAGYAAAAACTTTGTATGTCYAACGAGGACTGGGGTCTTGCGGATGAGACGCTCCGCCTATGAAAAACTCAAATGTTTTTTTTTGTTTTGGTTCATAAGATCCTTGGTCGATTGAGGCTCATGAGGGAGGGATCTTGTCATTGATTTTGTCTTCCTTTGTTCGCTTAGGCGATCTCCGCATTAGGAGTTCAACGATGTGGGCCGTTCGTTACCCTACTATGACGCGACCCTCACCTATTACCCGCGAGAAGAATTGTAGGACGCGGCAAAACGGGTCGATAAGGCTCCACTATTTTACCCTTTTGCCTTCTTTTCTGAATTATCCGGCGCCTAGGAAATAACTCTGATAAGCACGCACCTAGCAGCCTCGTCTGGCTTGAGGAGCACCACGGAAGGATGGGTAGCTTCCAACTCCCCTTGGCCTTATGGGACTAAGCAGCGATAGGAATCGCTCTACATTTACCCCGCGCACGCTTGACGTCGTTCTATATAAATAGCCCAGCCTCTCGTATATTTCACTTCACTACAAGGTTTTTGTGTTGCCGGTTCCTTTTCTAGGAGGACGACGGAAGTTAGTTCGCCGCGGCCTCCATTGCTTATCGTGCCGAGTCTTGGACAAGGGAATGAGTCGGTCAGTCGGAGAAATGGGGGCGAGGGTAGCAGACAACACGGGCGCCGCAAGCGGTGCCGCCTCGAGCAGTTCACGACGGAGGGTCGCGACAGTCGCCACCATCATGCTGTTTCCAAGCAAGACGGAGGCAAGGGCGTCTACTGTAGCCGTGGGAGGTTTTAGGCAAGGATGGGCGAGAGTCGGCCGCATGGTCTTCCATCCCGCGGACGTCTTCCCGGACGAGGTGGAGCGCAGGGAGGACCAGGGAACCCTTTAAAACCCGCCACGGATTTATGCATTTGTGACAACGGCCATGAAGCTGGTTCTAAGCGTCGGCGTCTTCCCCCTTAGGAAGAAGCATTGGTTCGGCGTCGGGGTCATGTATGACGTCGTGAACAAGTCTATCCACTGCAAGTTCAAGGACGAGATCAGGCGGTTGTCCCTACGCATTATGCGGAACCACCACGCTCGGCAGGGACCATTCATATACATCGAGCATTACGATCGCGTCGGACCATACGATGTCGGATTCCGTGTTGCGGAGAGATGTGATGATGAGGCCCTCGAGCGGCAGGAGGAGAATTTGCTGAAACTCTTTCGTATCTGATGATGGCTCCTTGTGATGCAGGATGGCTGGAGCTAGGCGTGACCTGACGATCCTCAGGTATCTCCTGATTCGAGATACGAACGATGCAGACCGCATCGCCTGGGCGGAGAGGATGTCGATGGTGTTCGATGGGACTCCGACTAGATGGCTCGGCTTTGTCGGAATCGTCAATGACGGACGTGGGTTCCTTCCGGAAGAGCGATCGGAGATTCGACCGAACGTGATTCGGCGTCCGAACGAGTTGCAGGAGCATACAAAGTATTTCAATCGTGTCTTGAACATGGAGCCTGTCTCTCAAGTCACCGCTGGAGTACTCTTCAGAAGATCCGGAGCGTGGATGGTGTTCCTTTGGCTTCGAGACACTTCCGCCCGACACCTTAAGCGCCTCGGTGTACCTTTCTGGTCCATCCTGTTGATATTGGCGCGACGAATGACGGAGCTCTACAACACGAACGACCTACGACTAAGATGGGAAGGACGAGTGCGGAGGATGACGATTAACGAGGCGATGACCCTTGTACTAGGAGGGACGCAGTGAGGCGATGACCCCTATACTAGGAGGGACGCAAGTGGTTTGGATAACAGGGAGTCAAAGGAAAAATAATAGAGAATGTCTTGGGTATATTGCTACAATGCGGAGTTGCTTTTGCAAATTTGATTCAGTAAGTTCCTGTCTCTGCAAGTTGTGACCGTCGACGGTGTCGAGGAGGTGATCCTCTTGTTAGTTTTCACGTACATCAATTGTGGAACGCTCTTCAAAACTTTCTTTTCAACTTTATGAGATAGTGAAGACAAAGGCATGTTCTTTGTCATCATACCTGCCAAAGATTGTTGTTTCCGCCTTTGGGATGATTCGCTACCTGCATGCTGCATTTGTACATCTTCGTTTGCAACCTCTATGTGCCTTGGCTGTCATGTAGGTGCTTTTGGTAACGGCTTCAAAAATGTTTGGTTGTAACTCTAATGTGCCTAAATGGGACATCTATGTGTGAATTGGTTACCACTCTCGCGTGATTGTTAGCAACATTTGTTTATGTCGTGATCGTTTACGTGCATGTGCCTAATTGTAACATCTGAATGTCTCATGTAACCCATATATGTGTTTTCTGCTGCAATGACACCGTCTTTCGGAAAACGTCTTTATAAAAGACTAGGAGTGACTTCGATGGGATTATTCTATATTCACCTATAAGAATTGTCTGTACTACGGCGAAACGAGCAAAACGCCCCTAGTTGGTCTACCTCTGCGATTGCATGTAAAAACTTTCGTATGTAGATCAGTAGCTCGGTAGGGATACGCCTCTGAGGATGGTGATAGCTCCTCAGGGAAGACGAGTTGTGCCTCGCGGGACCCTAACTTGTCGTAGGGGAACGCGAGAAGTACGACTGGCGCACCCGGCTAGAGCGGCAAAACCCCATTGTTCACCTCGATGAATTTTGGGGGAAGCATTCTGACTCTAAAAAGAAAGATATCAAACTCCTGCGTGATGCGGCCGAGAGGCCCCCCTTTATGCGTTACGATGCGAAGGGGGGTCGTTGCGTCCGACAGTGGAACTTCGACGTGTCCTTTTTGTGTGTTCTCGGTCGCATTGGGGAAAACTCTCGGAATTTTGTGAGGATACGAATAGGCATAGGACTTTTTTTTCCCGCGTCGTCCTCTTCGCGCGCAGATATGGTGATTTCAATTTTGAATTGGTTTAGGACATAGGCAAGCTGTAACTGTTTCGGTGCCTTTTTCTTTTTCTCTTTGTTGACGGCGCCACGCATACGAAGCTTTCTTCTCTCTCCTCCCCCCCCCGCTCTATTTCTCGCATCGTTCTCTCCCGCCCTCTTTCCTCCTTCCCCCTCCCTTCTCGCAACTGTTTTCCCTCTCTCTCTCCCGCTTTGATCGATTGCGCGCTCATTTCCCTTTCTTGATCATCTGAATCTTGGACCCGTCTTGCGCTACTTCTCGCACCCTTTTTTTTCCTTTCGCCTTCGGAACGAGAATCGGAAGCCTGGTCGATCCTTCGATTACTCTCGCCCACCAATCAGACGCGTGGTACGATAGGATCTGCCTATCGCATGATGAATCTGATTCGCGAAGCTAAGAGTCCCAAAGAATCAACATGGCTTCCGTAGCGCGCTCCTCGCCAAGTCTTCTCCTCCTCCTTCTTTTCTTACGCTTCGGTTTTCCCCCTGCCTTCTCTCTCCCTTGCCCCCCTTCTCGCCACTATAAATTTCGCGAACGCTCCCGCAAATCTCTCTTACGTTCTCGACTCCCAAGCCAGCTTCCGGGAAGCAGTGGCTAGGCAGAGTGTTTGGTGCGAGTCGGAAAGTCCTGTCGAGCTGACGATAGGCTGGCCGGTTGTGCGCTTGATCGCCACGACGGACTGTGGGATCTGGGCGAACCGCGTCGAGTTTACGTCGGTGGGGTGACGATCGCAGTGGTGGGAGTTAGCATGCGACGGCCGGGATCGTCGGTGCGGGTATGAGGATCGATGATTGGAGTTGAGTGGGTGGTTGGCCCGGGGCCATATTGGAATTCACGACGAATGCGCCTTTGTTGTTGCGGATCTTTATCTCTGGCGTGAGTGTGCGGCAGCAACGCTGAACTTCCGTTTTTTGGGATCTTGTCATCTCCTATCTCGACCTTCCTCCTCATCTCTCTCTCTCTCCTCTATCTTTGAATGATGATGTGTCTTGATGCCTGTCCCTCTCATGAATGAGAATGAATTTATGTGCTCTCCTGTGTGAAGGAACTTCTTCCGGAACTTTTCCATTAGTTTCCTGGGTAATCCCCGGATGTCGAGGAATTGATTCTCTGGTCTTGTGAGCGGTGGATGCGTGTGTACAATTCCCTCGGTTGATTTCCAACCTGTGCACCCCTGTCATTTTCGCACCTTCCACAGTGAATGTATGTATGGAGGTGCTTGCCTTTTTGTATTGATTAGGCGCCGCGCTCGGTGGGACTTTGTTCAAGAATGCAAGAGTGTTTAGATCTGTAGTTCTGAATGCACTGCGCATGCCATCTGCCTTATGCTGCACGACATCTGCAACCGATCTACAGGGCAGCCTCGAGAAACAAGGCGCCTGGGATCAACGCCGCGGTGGTTTACTAAACCTAAGTCGCGGGTCGGTCCCTTATTTACATGCATGATCCAGCTGATGAGTGTTCTCTCTCTCTCTCTCTCTCTCTCTCTCTCTCTCTCTCTCTCTCTGTCTGTCTCTCTCTCTGTCTGTCT